TTTGCAAAGTTCTCGACGAGGTCATGGGGACCCAAAAGCGTAGTATTTTGTTAATATCTAACGCTTTTGATGCTAAATTCAAAGATCTTTCTAATCAACTTGATGCATTAAAAAATCTTGTTTTGGTAATTCTCTAGGGTGCGGTAACAACCCCTAAAAAAGGTGCGGAAAAGTCGGGAGGGGTATCAAACGACGCGTTTCGGCCCCCCTATTAACAATCCGGAGGGGGGGAGATAATATTATTAACCATTTAAAAGTTATGAACAAAAAACTTTGTTAAATTTCGTTGTTTTCGATGGGCAATTACACCGACAAAGATTCACTAAATCACCTGTTCACACTTTTTAAACACTATTAAAATATATAATTTAACTTATTTATTAAAGAAACACATAGTTTTATCAACCTAAGATAGATTATTTTGTTATTAAAAAGAAGTTGACAATCTTTGCGAGCTGAAACGCGAGATTCCAAAATAGCTATAGTGCTGCCACTGTATTAGTATTTCGTAATAATTCACTTTTCCTTATGAGATGTGTGCACTGTTCAATGCTTTTCGGTATCTTCTTTCGTTTAATATATATATAAATGAAAATTTTTAATAAAAAATCGCGCGATTTTTTATTAAAAATTTTCGCCTGCGTCGCTTTTTCCATAAAAATCAATACTTCGATAAATAATGAAAATTTTTAATAAAAAATCGCGCGATTTTTTATTAAAAATTTTCGCCTGCGGCGCTTTTTCCATAAAAATCAATACTTCAATAAATAATGAAAATTTTTAATAAAAAATCGCGCGATAGCTTTTCCTGAATGAGCAAACCACTTTGCTCTTCTTCTTCTTAATTCTTGCAATTCTTTGTCTGCGGCATATCCAATATTTACCAACCCGTCTGCACGGGTTGGAGCACTGTCCGCACACCATGGAGTCTCTCAGGACCCCATGAGCCACTAAAAACTCCTCCAAATCTTTTCCTTTAAGCTTTAAAAAGCTTGTAATTGTAAAATCGCACATTTGGCACTCCATGACGCTTACTTTTAATTAAAGCTAAAATAACTGTTAACCATAAAAGTAGCGCTGCCATGGTATAGCGAAATTTGCTATTATATTTTGGTTACAATATCTCGTTTAGATGAAAGTAAAAAGAAGAAGAAGAAGAAGAAGTGTATAGTGTATAGTGTAAACTGAGTATAATAGCGCAAATGAAATGTGAAATAAAGTGGCAATACCAGCGATTTGAGGTTATAATAATTTTAGCAGGCGCAAAGTTTGTTTACTCTGTTTTATTAACGAAATATATAAAATAAAAGTGAATAAATGATTTGGTTTGTATAAAATAATAACCGGAAACGTTTTAGTAGTGTTTTAAAAGTGGAAACTGGTGATTTAGTGCATTTTTGACGTGGTAATTGCTCATAGAAAACAACAAAATTTAACAAAAGTTTTTTGTTCATAACTTTTAAATGGTTAATAATATTACCTCCCCCCCTCCGGATTGTTATTAGGGGGGCTGAAACGCGTCGTTTGGTACCCCTCCCGACTTTTCCGCCCCTTTTTTAGGGGTTGTTTATTTATTCTTTCGTAATGGCCAACTGCTGTGGCAAATGTAGTAAAGCGTTTTCGAGATCTGACGCGAATTTGGTGCCGTGTAATAGTTTTTGCCGGAAAACATTCCATCGTGCGTGTTGTAAAGGCATATCTGAATATGATATGAACTTGGTTAAAATAACCGGCATTTAATTTACCTCTGTGAAGATTGTGTTGTCATGCCGGAGAAACTTTGCAAAGTTCTCGACGAGGTCATGGGGACCCAAAAGCGTAGTATT